ACAACAACGCAATATTTATGAATACTGCTAGGAAAAGATTTAAGTGGTGAGGTAGATGATAAAGTATGGTAAACGTCACTGATCCACAATTTACACAGTTGTACACATATAATTCACACAGAAAAAGTAAAAATCGTTTTACTTTAAAAATTTCAAGACTTTCGATTAAGATAACTATTACTAAAATCAATATTCTCCTCACCAATTTAAGTTAAAAAATTAAAGATTTCTTTAGCACACTTCAACTTCAAGGCCCAGCAAAATATTCTTTAATGCTACGGAAGTATTCTGTTTGCAATACAAAGATGTAATGCAGATTTCCTGTAATGCCTATCATTAACTGTTATTTTACCTACTGGTAACCTATTAGAGTCCTGGTGTGGTGCTGTGGGTTAATGTGCTGGACCGCAAAGTTGGTTTGAACTGCAAAGTTGGCAGTTCAAGCTCACCAGCTGCTCCTTGGAAACCCTATACAGGGTCGCTATGGGTCAGAACTGACTTGATGGTACTTAACAACAACCACCTTATAATATGAACTGTATAATAACATTTTATTTGAAAGCACCTGCAATACAGGCAGTTGTCTAAATTATTTCCCTCACTTCCTGCTCCCTGAGTTCTAGGTTTCACTTTGTCTCTTCCTCTGGCTCCTCTTCCATCCTGTGGGCTTGGCTTTGTTTCTCTCCAACTCCCTCTTTGGCAATCATAGTTAATCCCCAAATTTCAACTTTCTTTTCTTTAAAGATGATTCCTAATTTAATCCATGGAACCTCAATCTCTTTGGAAGTACAACACATTTACACTACCCTATTCAACATTTTAAGGAGCTCTGGTAGCGTAGTGGTTACGAATCGGGCTGCGAACCACAAAGTCATCTGCTCGAAACTACCAGCCGTCCGCGGGAGAAAGATGAGGCTTTCTGTTCCCGTAAGGATTTACAGCCTCAGAAACCCTGCTCAGGGTCGCTATGGGTCGGAACCGACTCAATAGCACTTAACAACAACAACATTCAACATTTTACGCAGGTGTGCCACCAACCCCAAAACACCCGAACCCCCCGCTGAGGAGTCAATGCTCATAGCCACAAGTGCCACCGTTACTTACAATTCATCATTTAAAATCACTGCAGCTATCTTTCTAACACCACCATTCTCTAAAATACCCAGGCAAACATGAAATCTCAGCCTCATTTTTGAGTAATCAATCCCGGCAACGGCTAGAGTTCATTAGCAATCAATTCATTGTCTCCCTTAAATTGGTAACTGCATTTCCATTTCCACAACTGAATCTGTATTCAAGTGAATTGCCAATATAATCTTTCTCCCTCATTGTGACCCTTCTTACCATTTATTTTATTCCATGTTTTAGTTACTCCTCTGCTCAAGACCCTTCAAATTAACAGGAAAACAAACTTCAAAATCTGTAACCTGGTGTTAAATTATTTCTATAAGGTAGCCCTAAACTATCTTTCTAACATTATTTTTTCACAATTTCCCTTCAGGTAATCAATATTCAACAAATTAACCATTCATGTGTATCTATCATGCCCCAAATCTCTACACAACTAAATTCCAGCCTTCATTTAAGGTCCAATGTAAAAAACAAATCCATCAATGGACCCATCCTTTCATTTGACAAACATGCCAAGTCTATGCATTACTATGTCCAAGGGATATAAAGATGTGTAAAATATTATCCTCGAGTCCTGGTGTGGCATTGTAGGATAATGCACTGGACCGCAAGGTGGGTTTTGAACCACAAGGTCAGCAGTTCAAGCTCAACAGCCGCTCCTCTGAAACCCTATAATATAGGGTTGCTATGAGTCAGAACTAACTTGACAGCACTCAACAACAACTCTCAAGAAAGTTCTCAACAATCAGCATCAGGAGTCAACAAGGAAACAGTGGTACTGCGCTGATGAGTCAGAAGACAGAGGTTTTTGCTTTAATTCTGAACCCTGTGACCATGAAAAGGAACATTTTAACTCCAGAATTTTGTTTCCTTTTTGAACATAAAGGATTTAATTTGGACTAGATAAGCAACCTTCATTCCATTTAAAAACAAATCCTTTCCAGAGCTTAAAAATACAAAAGCTAAAGAGTGGTTGGACTTTTGAGGTATGAAATTGATTAAAAAAAAAAAAATTACATATATATATGCTTGTTGTTGTTGTTAAGTGCCATTGAATCAGTTTCAACCCATAGTGACCCTGTATAGGGTGGGTTTCCAAGGAGCCAGTTGGTGAGCTTGAACCGCCGACATGCAGTTTAAACAGCTTTGCAGTATGGCGCTTTAGCTCACAGCTCCACACCAGGACTTCATATATATATAAGCTTTGTTGTTGTTGTTGTTAGGTGCCATAGAGTTGGTACTGACCCATAGTGACCTTGTTGTTGTTGTTGTTAAGTGCTGTTGAGTCGGTTCCGACCCATTGACGCTGGGCAGGGTTTCTGAGGCTGTAAATCTTTACGGGAGCAGAAAGCCTCATCTTTCTCCCGCGGAGCGGCTGGTAGTTTCGAACCGCTGACCTTAAGGTTCGCAGCCCGATTCATAACCACTACGGTACCATAGTGACCTTGTTGTTGTTGTTGTTGTTAAGTGCCGTCGAGTCGGTTCCGACCCATAGCGACCCTGTACAGGGTTTCCGAGGCTGTAAATCTTTACGGGAGCAGAATGCCTCATCTTTCTCCTGCAGAGCGACTGGTAGTTTCGAACTGCTGGCCTTAAGGTTCGCAGCCCAATTCGTAACCAATAGTGACCTTAACTAATTTAAAATTTTCAAGTATTTAAAATTACAAAAAAAAATTAAAAAATACTGATCGATAAAAGGGGCTTAAAAAAATTCAATCTTTTAAACCAATTTTTCCACAAACTTTTTGAAGCCCCTCATATATATAGATTCGAATTAGAGTTTCTTTTACCCACCCATTCCATTTCTTCCAGGCAACTCCATTGTTTTTTTGTTGTTGTTGCTGTTGTTTTTCTTTTTAAACTTATCATACAGTAAAATTTTCTTTTCTTTTTTTTGGGTATACAGTTCTATGGATTTTAACACATGAATATGTGCATGTAACTATGACCACAATCAGAATACAGAATAGTTATATTAACCTCCAGAAAACTCCTTTGAGCGATTCCTTTATAGTCACATTGAGTTCTTTAAATAACCATAATAAGCTTTTATTATAGTAGTACTGTTGTTGTCATTAAGTACCGCTGAATCAATTCTGACTCATAGTGATCCTGTATAGGACTTCCAAGGAGCAGTTGGTGGGTTTGAACCGCTAACCTTTAAGTCAACAGTCCAGTGCGACTGCTAAGAATTTAAATTTTCAGTCTACCACCCAGATTACCAATGTGAGGTCTCAGCACATAACCTTCTGGATGCCTCTCTGGGCATGTGTATACTTTTTAAACCTAAAATGAGATCATCCTGTAATACTAGTCCATAACCTGTAGTTTTCAGTCAATGAACATACTTTTTCATTTCAGTAATTCTCCATCATTTCCAATACTCAGCTATAACCAAATTTCCTTCCAAAAATAGTAAATATTTTAGGCTTTATAGACCATACAATTTCTTATAACTACTACAACTATAATGTGAAACAGTCTTAAGCAATACATAAATGAATGAC